TAAACAGAACCACACATGAACATGAGTGTGTGCAGAACTGCGTCCAAATACTGATGACCTGTTAATGATTTAAAACAAACCCGCAGTTCACACATGAAGTGAAGTTTGTTCAGGAAGCCAACCTGCCTGATGGAAAACACGGGAATTTAATACATGCAGTTTCCTACGCACAGAAGAAGGAGTTGAGTACCAGCAATAATATAAGCTGCTAAGGAACCAAAAGGTAATAAATAAGAAAAAACTCAAATTCTAAGGTCACCTAACCACTTCATTTGATCAGAAAGCACCTTGAATTAGCAACATTAACATGCTACAAAGTCATCAGATATTGAAAGGGAACAAACTATTAACATTCCCATTTGCTATTCTGGAACACAGGAACCCTAGACTCATTGTGGCACAGGGACTTACCAGGATTAAGTCTGTTTAAAACTTTTTATAAAATTTGCAGTCTACTGTGTGACTTACACATTAGCAACAAATGCAATGCTTGTCAGATCGCTCCAGAATTTAATGTTCTATACTTTTTAATTCTTTCTTTCACAACCCAGAAGTGAAACGGAAAGGAATGAAATTTTTCTTAGCCTGTTTATAATACGTCCAGCAGCAAGGGTAACCAAAGACAACACAGAGCACAGCATCACAGGAATTTCAAGGCAGAGACAAAATAGTTTGCACTGACGACTCCACAGAAGCGTGACGAACTGAAAGAATTATTAATAGCAGCTTTCTTGATAAGGCCAGTCCAAACTGCTGCTCTGCTGCACTTCTGTAATTTCCACGAGAACTTTGGTTTCTCCTGAACCCAGACTCAAACTAGACCAGAACACTGTTTACAGCCCCGTTTCAGTGCCACGTTGCTTTTGTTTTTATAAAGTCACCTTTCACAGGCCAGTTTAAAAGAACATTAGATTTCTAATTCAGTGTTTTCAGCCCCAGTAACTCTGCTGTCAACTACAACTACTTGATTTGTAAACTTTTTAACAATTGCATTAGACAGGACAAGTGTAGATTTAACTTGTAATTATTTTTCTCAGGCTAGTACGTTAACACAAAATTGAATTGAGTGAAGGATTATGTGTGGCCACGTGTTCTAAAAGCATCCTAGTGGCAGGAATAGAAAATAATAGGGCTGAACAGGTGAATGAATCTTGGAAAATTAAATTGGTTTTCAAAATTGTCAAGGAACCTCCAAAAAATAGGTTCATTCTAGTTAATGGGAGAAAAGGCTGAAAAGAAGTACACCCTAGGTAGGTTACTGTTTAATAGGCTCTGCAGAAAATACAGCACAGCTGTAAGAACAGAAAAGAAAAACTCAATGATTAAAAAAAAAATCAAATACCAACCTAAAAATAAAGCATAACTTCTTTTTGCTTTGAATACGCTTAATAAGCTTCGTGCCACAGTTTAAAAATTTCCCTCTCAAAAAAGGGCAGTTTTGTTTATTTGCTTTGAACGTGGACACCAAAGCGCATTTCACTGCAAAATCCGGTTCACCTCCCATCTGCCCCTCGGCCTTTCTCCCACACTCCCTCGCATTTAAGGGCCGCCAGACCGTAGCTCGGGAGGCAGCCGTGGCACAAGCCCGCACAGGGCAGGCCCCC